GCTGGGTCGTCCCTTTATATACAGAGGTCGATGCCCGGCGGCTCTCAGAGTCCTGGCCGGCTCATAAATAGTGTCCGGCTCAGTCTCTGTTTATTCCTGCCTTACAACATAAGTTACATACATATGGCGGTTTATCTCTACGGGCCTTGAGTCGCCTTTGGGCTTGGACCCTTAACTGAAACACCATCTTCACGTGTCGTCTTGGGCTTCATATCTTGACTCGCCATAGGTATAACCCGGCCCCTCCTGGGCGGGTCATACCTAATAGTTATATCCCCAACAATCATCATATGTAGTTCTAGATGATATCGACGACGATCATCATATGTAGTTCTAGATGATATAGCCACACACACACACATATGTACTTCTAGATGATATCGACGACGATCATCATCCTCAAGACTGGGCGGTGGGTGTTCCTGATAGTAATTAGGATGGCCTATCCAACACGAAGATTCTTGCCAACGAGGAATCTCTTCCACCCAACCGAGTTTAAGTGTGTGCGACCGTCCGTGTCCATGCGGTAAGTACAGGTTGTGACGGAGCCCCTTGCAGTAAGGCGTAGTCCAGCTGAGCCTTCTTCATCAAGCTCGATACCATAACTCACAGATAGGCTCTTTGCCAATTTCTGAATAAGAAAAACATATCAATTAATAAATAGCCTAGCACATACTCTTGCAAATAAGTATATATGGGTTATATACACTATTAATAGTTCATTAGATTCTACACTAATAAGCATGTGATCGGAGTCTACACTAAAGCATATCATCGACTAGATTCCACACAACATATCATTGGACTCTACACTAAGCATATCATCGGATAATTTGCATTTGTAAGTATAACATACCATATCATGTCGATTGACCATGGTACTTGTTAGGCGGGTCACGAATGGCACCCCGACAAAGTCAGCACATGGCGGAATTATGTCCCATAGGTTGCACACCTCCTCCTCGCTCGGCCTCATTCTTTCAGCTACGATGGCTTCATGAAGTGGGTCCTCATCATCTTCATCGAGTGGGTCCTCATTATCTTCATCATCTTCATCATCTTCCACCAGGTTGATATAAATGATAGCCAGCTTGGGTCTTTCTGCTCTGAAGGAGAAGCAGATCAACTCACCACCAGTAAGATGCATGCGGGCGAGGAAACATGCCCATCCATCTCCTCAAATCTGCGACATATTGCATCCTTTCTCGACCTCC